ACATTTGAAAATAACAGTAAAAATATCAACCTAACGTTTTTTTTTATAGAGGTATTTCATAGATAATTACATGATAAATCTCGTTTTTTTTTGTTCAAACTTTTTTTTGGCTTGACAGAAAGAAAGAAAATTTTTTTTTAAATAATGAATATATGAATTCAGGAATTTGTCAGTCTTTTTTTTTTTAAATAACCTTTTTTAATAAAATTTTCCTTTTAAAATCTTTTTTTTTTCTTAAGTTTATGAAACAGTGTCGCGACATTTGGCAAACAAATCATGTGCCAGCACAATTTAATGCCAGMAGGCGCGCTCTAGAATTTTTTTTTTGTCCGCTCGCATTTTTAACGCCCCGGTAGCTGTTATCTTCAGAATAAACTGKTAATGTGACGAATTAAAACCCATCGCTTCAGAATTTTTTTTTAGAGGTTAATTGGAAATGTCTACAAGAAGCTATCAGTTTCTTTTGTACTCGTGTAAGAATATATATGATGTCGGAATTGTGGGGGTAATATTTTCCTTGAAAAATCAAGATAAGACATTACTCTGCATATAGTTTTTTTTTCCATTTTTTTCTCTATAATTGATTGCGGTATCTTGGTTTTTTTTTTTTCACTTAATTTTAATTATTAAGTTTAAAAAAACATTTTTTTTTTTTTCAAGAAGAAGTGGTCGCGTCCTTTCACTACATTTCTGTATAAAGCAATTCACGATTTTCCGAGTCTCCTTTAAGTGTAAGTTGTCTTTTTTTTTTTTATGTAATACACTCACAAAAACTGATTACGATGGCCTTTTTTTTTTTGTCTGTTATTAAAGATACTCTWGGCCATATGTAGCGTTTTTTTTTTGCTAATTGACATACCACTATCCAGCTGACAAAATCCGTTTTTTTTTTATGGAATTGATAACTTTATCCGCCCTTGTTTTGCACATTTTTTTTTCGGACTCAGTCAGTTCCATAGTATTCTTTGTTCTCGACAAAGACCGCTCGTTGCGCATAGTCTGAGCGCAATAAAGCAGACATTGTTTTTTTTTTTGTCGTGTTATCTCAATTGTTTGTAACCACATAATTTGTAAAAAGCTGCAAATTTACTCTTGAAATATCAAATGCTTTCGTGGTTTTTTTTTTTAATGTATAGTTCTTAACCACTATCAACAATACTGGTGTTTTTTTTTAGAAAAAAAAGAGTCTTATCCGTTCAAAAGTCTTTCCTTTTTTTTTTATTCATATTTATATCAAGATCCGCCTTTATAAAGGATGTTTTTTTTTATCCGCAGTATGAAAAAATATTGTCGGGTCGCAAAAAATTTTTTTTTTCAAAGCTGACCGAAAGGGATTTTGGGTACTCAGAAATTAGAATCACTTTCGCCTAGAAGTGTTACATTTTAGCAGGTCATTTTGTTTTTTTTTAGACAATCGTTTGGCACGGATGCACTATTATGTACCTGTTTTTTTTTTAATTATTTGCTTTCCCAATCACCTTTTTGGTCTTAGCTTTTTTTTTAGAGAGCTTTAGCATGACGTTCACGTTCGCTTTTTTCAATGACTACCAAAAGCGCAAGGTCAGGCACGAAATTCTTAGGTCATTGTTTTTTTTTKGCCGTTAGCCGTTTGCCGTAAACGTGATGCTTAAACTTTTTTTTTTGACCTTTTTGAACCCGACTACGATGACTATGTATATGTTTTTTTTTTTTGTATATGCATTTATCCGCTAGATAAAGAATTTATCTGGTGGACCATGCTATTCACTCTTCGTACAATCGGCCATGCTTGATCCTTTTTTTTTCCAACTTTGAGACATCTCGAACCGGCGGCCGGTGTCGTATTCAAAAGGTCATAGATTATAGATTTTTCGCAGCCTAAGATTGGAGTTTTTTTTTGTTTCCGGGATACTAGTTAGTAAACGATAAAAGGGATTTTTTTTTTTCAATGCAAAATGCGTCTGCGGATACTGGGACGATTATATTTTTTTTTGCATGACGTATTCTGTTATTATTTAATGCCACAGGGTGTTTTTTTTTGTTGATATTAACACAGTACTTCCTAAAGGTTATCAGAATTTTTTTTTACCAAGACTGCCTGGTAAACTGTATAAAATGCTAGACAAACTTTCTGAGATATAACGCGCGCGATGATTGGTTAACATGTAAATATTTTTTTTTATATAGAACGGCCGCTTGTGTCTCTTTGAAATAAACACTTTTTTTTTCGAAGAGTTCCCAACATTGAAAAGAAACACTCGCTGGGCTTATGTTCCTAGTCTTGCTTCTCCTGTGCACTCAATCTCACCCTACTTTTTTTTTATATYAGATAAAAAGGCACGCGATTCTGCTTTATATTGGTCAGCTATGATTATACCGAATTGCAAGGACTTYGTCATACGGAATTTTTTTTTTTAAGAGATATTTTTTTCTCGCKATATCATTAAACCTTAATTTTTTTTTTGCCAATGTTCTTGTAATTAGGTTTACAACTATTTCAATTTTTTTTTTCGGGGAGAATGTCGAAKGGCGAGTTTTGAAGGGAGATTTTTTTTTTGAAAGGGACTATGGCTACGTCGTTTGCAATAATATTGTGGCAAAATTTCACTTGTTGGATTTACCTTACGTGAAAGTGGAGGGTATTTTTTTTTAATGTTTACCAAAGAKTATCTTACAGTACAAATCAATCTTTTTTTTTCAACAATCAGAAAACTCATGGATCCTTTCGTAATCCTCTTCGTTCGATATTGCCATTCGACATTTTATACGACAACCTCTTTGTATTTTTTTTTATGTGCTAATCTGAATCGTATGTGTATACGCACCGACTCTAACGTTCACTGTAAGTGCGACAAACCACGTGACATTCTTGTGTTTTTTTTTTTTATAATTCCTTTTTCTTTCTTCCACACTCACTCGGCACCTTTTTTTTTTTAAGTGTCTCCAATTAGAATTAAGGTGAGCATCTTCATTTTTTTTTTGCTGCATTTTAATATGCACTATTGATTTCCCTCCAGAAAAAAAGTTTAGGATCCCTTTGTAAATATGCTGGCCTTGAGGGAGTATTTTTTTTTATTCATCATTGCAATATGTTAAGATAAATGTCCACTTTTTTTTTTTTACCCATCATAGTTTCGTAACGGGAAAATTCTAAGGCTCTTTTTTTTTAGGAATGAGTCTTTGATTTGATTGGTTAAACTAATCCATTTTTTTTTCAGCATGARTATATCGTAAATCCAGATTTTGGGTCTTCCGGTTTGTCTCCAACCAGAAACTTCGATTTCCCTTGATAAACTGAGATTTTTTTTTGTAYGAGACTGCTAACTTTCAACCTAATAGCAATGCTTTTTTTTTTTTGCTGTAAATATGCAAGTACGAACTAAGTGTTACTGCGTTTTTTTTTTGCGCTGTCTTGATGTTCATTGTGGGTATTGGGTGCTTTTTTTTTTTTCATAAAACTAGGCATTGTGGAAAATCCGGTCCATGAATTTTTTTTTGCCGTTTAAGATAACACCAAAAGAATTAAAGTTGGCGGGAGCCAATGACCAAGAATTTCTACTCTTATGAATGCTGGGACGCAATTTTTTTTTTGACCGTGAGATCTCAGAGCGGTGAACCTGTCGATTTGATTTTTTTTTTCTTTTTCTCATAGAATTGGAGTTTTATATGAAGCAATTTTTTTTTTAATTAATGTTTTTTTATTAAATGGACCTGGGTATTTTCTTTTTTTTTTCATCTAACTGCGTTTCAAGTAATAAAAATGTGCTTGCTTTTTTTTTGTTTATACTCTTGTTTTTATTTTTTATAAGGTTATTCGTTTTTTTTTTCAGGACCTCCTGTTGACGTACAAGTGAACTTATATGTTTTTTTTTTTGGGAACATCGAAGAAGCTAAAATGGTAGGTTCACTTGGAGCCCGACGATGGTCATCCCTAGTTCCATGCTAGGGATCAGTGACCTTTTTTTTTATTTTGGCTGGAACRAGTTTAGAGGCCKAGAAASTTTTTTTTTTTTTTACCTRGGAAGTGCAATGTCCAGCACTTTGAGAGACTTTTTTTTTTTATTTTATGCGGTGAATTTTTGAAAATATTACCTGAAATTATTATAGAGTCAGTGCCTCCAGCCCCCCTGCTCCACAGTTCCTGGGTTTTTTTTTTGCGAAGGATGGATGATGTTATCCATTGCATATAAATTTTTTTTTTTATTTATCCACTGGAAAACAATTTTTCCGGCGGTTTCACCCTTTTTACGTACAGAGGACCCCAGATAATGTCTTTGGYTTTCAATRTTTTTTTTTAATGTTATTTCATCATTAGGAGTACAAATTGTATGGCTATTTCCGTCAATTTTGGAATGATCAGCGACTTGCTGGAAGGCATAACGATTCCATCGTCCTCAAAGGTGAAGACATCACCAAAATMTGGAAGCCTTTTTTTTTTTGTTACAACGCCAGAGAATCGACTCTMAGTGCGAGTGTTTTTTTTTTCAATAGCTTGATGATCATACAACCCAATGGAAACATCTTTTTTTTTAGAATGTAAGTCTATAAGCGGCAGTTTACATCATACAGTTTTTTTTTATGTTCGTTGAAGGTCAAAAAATCAATATATGCGTGGCTTTTTTTTTATGCTTCAAACTTTTGATTAGTTTTACAGATATTGTACTTTTTTTTTACATTGCTGAAAGACCTTTACTGTCGTACTTTTAATTGTTTTTTTTTCTACCCTGACATCAAATCCCACTTTTTTCGCCCTTTCTTCCAACGCACCTACAGTTCCCACTGCAATTCCACCAACCAATCTTCCTTTTTTTTTTTCCACCAACTCTTCCTCCCTCCCTCCCTCCCTTCCTTTTTTTTTTTCTTCCTTCCAGCCCCCTCCCTTCAATTTTTCCTCGTTTTTTTTTTTTTTTTGTTTGTTATTATACTTCAATCCTTTACGTTTTTGTTTTTTTTTAATGATCTAAGGTCCTTTAACTAATCTTGCTATTGCTATTTTTTTTTGGACCATCATACTCGCAGAGTGTGACATGGATCTGCGCCATTTTCCTATGGACCTGCAGAATTGTTACTTAAAGTTTAGCAGCTGTTTTTTTTTATATCGTGTTATGTATGGCCGTTGCAATCTTACATTTGTTTTTTTTTACAATGAGAGCAAACACTTTTTTCTTTCTATCTTAATTTTTTTTTTTCCCAAGTAAGAACTAGGGAAGCAAACGGCAAAGGAATGTTTTTTTTTGCTAATTGGCCATTGTATAATCCATCCATCCCAATGGTTTTTTTTTTAAAATCTGCTATAATTTTACAAGTTAGCGCAATTTCTATTTTTTTTTTTGATGTCTGTTTTCACTTTCATGAAAGCTTAATTCTTTTTTTTTTTTAAAAGGCAATTCTACGTGGGGAACATAGCAAATTAGATTTTTTTTTTGGCTATTGTTTTGAGTGCTTATGATTGGATAACATCTTTTTTTTTTAAAGAAACTTTGTTTCAAAATAGAGTTTCTCCACATTTTTTTTTTTTAATGTGTTACCCATAGGTTGATATATAATCAGTATGAATTTTTTTTTATTCGTACGTGGGAAAGTTGCAATGCTGCAGAACAATATTTTTTTTTTCCCTAGTTCTTAAGCGCATTGTTACTTAATAACCCTTTTTTTTTTTTGTTTTAMATTTTCAGACAGCTACAGTACAGACCATATTTTTTTTTTCTGGRAAGGTGGAAATCCTGTTACTGTTGCCAGAACGAATCTTGCGCAGTTTTACTTCACAGAGCTTGAYACAAAAACCTTCACCTTTTTTTTTGCATTGGGTAAGAAAAAACCCGTATCTCTAAACGACCATTTTTTTTTCTGTTTATCASATAATTATATATGAAAGCAAAKTATGTTTTTTTTTTCCTTTTTWMYTYCMA